CAGCCCTTAACATTCGGGATGCCGAGGTGCAAGGCAACTATCATGGCTGGGTAATTGAATTAATAACTGGATCTCTGTTAATTACACCTGTACAGGGGCTGAGCATTGCTGAGACGTAACTCTTAACTTTTTAACGATGGGAACGATGGACAGAGACTGTCAGTAGCGGTGTACCAATAGCTCCTTCCCAACAGGCTGAAAGTTTTGCTGACTCTCCTAAGGTGATCTTGAAGGTATGGATGTCTAGGACCAACATGATTGAGCAAAGGCCAGGTGCCAGAGATGGACACCCAAGAGAGCCCTAAGGAGCCATACCCATCATATTGAAGCAGGAAAAAGAAAGGGTCAGCTTCTCTTGGCTCTGAAAGCAGCTCTGTTGGGGCGGCAGTACCTGCCTTTCATGCGATTGATTTGCTGGAACTGAAATGTGAACAACAAAATAAATTACTTGAACTCAAATTAAGGAGTTACTACAGAAAATATGATTTTTAGGAACTCTTAAGATGCAGCAGAGCGCTGAAAGCTGCTGCACTGCTTGTGCAAGGGGTGCCAGGAGAGTCACAGGCCCCCTGCTCTCCCTTCGGTCTCCATTGCCCGTGCTCAGCGCTGTGCTGGACCCAGATGCTCTTAAGACCCAGTTTCAAGTTAATTTGTGCTTGTAAGCCACCTTACGAGTCGATTTTAATAATGTTTTTCCAAATATACTAAAACCACGACTACCCCTGACAATATCGCCCCTTGCATGCCGATGCTCAGCAGCTCCCTTGAGCTATGCCACCCCCCATGGGGACTGTCCTCGTGCCCAGGTGACCGGGGAGATGCTGCCGTGTTGTGCAGGGATTGGAGGATCTCTCAAGCCAGGAGAGGCACAAACTGACCCATAAGGAACTCCACCTGCACACGGTGGGGAGAGACCAGCAATGCAACGGCACAAACATTGCCCAGTTTCCTTTTTCCCCACGTGCTTTTAAAGTTTGCTACGTGTCCTACTCTTGACGGGAAAGCGGGTCAGCAAAGGGCACAGCATTTCACATCCACCCAAGCAGATGTTGCTTTTGCAGCCGCCACGGCAGAGGATGCTTCCCTACCGCTGGTGGGATTTCTGCCGAAGTTCAGGGTACGCTTTTCCCCCTCCCCTACGATGAATTTCTGCGTTACACGCTGGCAGAGCATCAGGACATCCAGCAGTGATTCAGACGCGGTTTAGAAGTGCATCACATACCACAGCAATCTGTCATTCCCGCGTAACAGGGCAACATTACACACGCTGGGGAGCATCTGACCAGGGGCTCTTTCTGGACTGACAAGCAGTTGGAGTGATTCAGCAGCAGGAAACACCCAGACAAAAGGCTCTCCCCACTGCAAGACTCCGGTGCTTCCGGAGCCAACGCTTTCCCAAACCCTATATACAGGATTTTAGGGTGCACTTCAGCACACCGTCTCTAACCAACACAACATCCCTGTCTTCTTTCGTGCCCTCTGCGGAGGAAAAGCTTGCTTTCATCCGGACCAGAGCACGGCTCCGCAGTGGATCTGAGCCTTACCAGTAGTACCAGGTATCACCGTGCGGGGAAGGGGTGGGAGGATGCTCTTCTGGCAGCTACGAGCCATCAGATGAACTCAGCTGCCAGGAACTGCACCATGAGTTGCGAAATCCTCATTTTACTAAAAAATAAAGACACTTACCAAAGGACACATGTTCTTGACTCCGCGTTTGTCAACCCCTGCTGAGTGATTCAAAGGAAGCGTTAAGACTGTGACTAAGAAAACAGTCAAAACTAAGAAAGTCAAACCAAGAAAGCAGTCAAAAGAACGAAGAGACTGCCCGCTCTGCAAAGGAGAAAGGTCAGCTCCAGCGGGTAGGACTCCACCTTCCCAGGGAACGCTCCTGCACACGTCCGCACATGGACCGTGGCACCACAGCCCCAAAACACTCACACTGGGCAAGGACCTGGCACAGGGATTTGGGATGCTCTCAGCACAGGAGCAGTGCTACACACCTGTCCTGGTTTTGGCAGGGATAGAGTTAATTTCCTTCCTAGTAGCTGGTACAGTGCCGTGTTTTGGATTTAGGATGAGAACAATGTTGACAACACACCGATGCTTTAGTTGTTGCTAGGTAGTGCTTACACTAGTCAAGGACTTTTCAGCTCCCCATGCTCTACCGACTGAGAAGGCTGGAGGTGCACAAGAAGCTGGGAGGGGGCACAGCCAGGACAGCTGACCCAAACTGGCCAAAGGGACATTCCATACCATGTGACATCATGCTCGGTACATAAACTGGGGGAAGCTGGCCGGGGGGGCCGCTGCTTGGGGACTGGCTGGGCATTGGTCAGCAGGTGGTGAGCAATTGCACTGTGCATCACTTGCTTTGTGTATTCTATTATTATTACTATTTCAATTATTAAACTGTTCTTATCTCAACCCATGAGTTTTCTCACTTTTACTCTTTATCTCAACCCACGAGTTTTTCTCACATTTACTCTTCCAATTCTCTCCCCCATCCCACCGGGGGAGCGGGGGGAGAGTGAGCAAGTGGCTGTGTGGTGCTCAGTTGCCAGCTGAGGTTAAACCACAACAGCACCCCACGGGATGCTTAAAAGGGAGTACCAACTTGATTAGGGAGGGGATGCTACTGCTGATACAGTTAAAAGTAGTTACTGCTGAAATCCTGTTGTCTAGTCTTACATCCAGACAGTAAAAACTGATACATTTATAAAAAATACCAGGTATTTGCAAAAACCTAAGACACCTGGTGCATTGCTGTTAGCTGCCATCCTCTCCAGGCAGCTGCCGCAAGTAGGGCTTATTTCTTCAGTCTCTTGCTTCACGCGATTGCACAGAATTTGCCGAACTGCTTCCCAGAGCAAAAGGGGAAAGCACTTTCTTCCCTACATCAGTCCAGAACGTAGTTTTGAGTCCAGGAATGAGTATACCACCAATTCTACACAAAAAATAGTCTCACTGTAAACCAATGAGAAAAGCTCAATCCATCTCCTCCAACACAAGGTTAAAAAAATAATTAGATCATTAGATTTACTACACAGGATAACAGAAGGCTTTGGGGAGACCTTCTTGCAGCCTACCAGTACTTAAAGGGGGCTTACAAAAAAGATGGCAGCAAACTTTTTAGCAGGGCCTGTTGCGCCAGGACAAGGTGGAATGGCTTTAAACTAAAGGGGGGTAGATTTAGACTAGATGTAAGGAAGAAATTTTTTATGCTGAGGGTGGTGAAGCACTGGCACAGGTTGCCCAGAGAGGTGGTGGATGCCCCATCCCTGGAGACATTCAACATCAGGTTGGACGGGGCTCTGAGCAACCTGATCTAGTTGAAGATGTCCCTGCCCACGGCTGGGACTGTTGGACTAGATGACCTTTAGAGGTCCCTTCCAACCCAAACTATTCTATGATATACAGTATAGTGTTTGCCCAAGATCTTTTAAATGCAATAGATTATAGCTAAAAACTGAGTGATTCAGTGCCGATTCTAAAAACAAGAAATGGAATTTAGAAGCACTTAAATGAAGAACCTTAAGTGCATTTATCCTTCATGGGACAGCAAATGACTGGCTGTTCCCAAAAGAAATGGGATGTAGTGAGAGTATGCAAGCGCTTGCCCTGGGATTATCTGTTTTTTTTGTTGGGCTGACAGGACCAGTAACAATAGCTTCCACTGAATAAAAATTTGGGGGTTAAACAGGCTTACCACTTAAATCCCAACCTCTGATGGCTTTGGTGGCACTTCTGTTTACAGCCGAGTGCCATACAGCCATGTTTTAAATGCTCTAACAAAAGGAAGGCTGCAGAGGCAGGCTCCTGATCATTCATCCTCCGGTGCAAGCCCTTCGAAGTCACTGTATGAAAACCTCCAGCTCAGTAGTACTTAACAGAACCAAACCAGGGTTAAGTGCAAGATGGTGCTCAGAAAGAAATCAACATTATGTTACTATATAAACCCACAGGTTCCTCAACCTGTGGGACACTGTGTGCCATCCTGGTCCTTCCTTTCACCCCCCCTCTGAAAGAACAGATCAAGTAATTGAAAGCTTCCATACAAAGACCTGACTAGATCTGAAAACCACATTAAGACGAGACAACGGAGGCCACTGATGAGAAATGGCACAGAAATGTGTGGAGAGCAGCTAGCTGTCCCATTCCCATACAGGAACAGCGGAAAATCATCAAATAAAGGTCAAGAGGCTGCAGGTCCACAGGGTCCTGTAACCACTCTTAGTCCATGAAAAAAAGTGTGGAAATTGCTATGCAGGAAAAAAAGTAGAGGAATTTGTGTTCAAAAGCCGAGAGAACAGTGGCAGATGTAGCCTAGCATCTCGCTGCTCTTGCACTGTTTTCTAGTCCTCCGTGCTTGGTCACCATTGGAGCTATGATACAAGGCTGAGGGAAGTTCTAGTCCGACAAAAGTTCTTTCAAGTCTTGCACAGAATTTTCCTGTAAGTGTATGAAGTTCATGAATCCGAGTAGGCAAAATGGTACTATAGCGGTAGGAAAGCATCATTTGAGAGTTATATGGCATAAGCAGATGAAGACATACTCTTTAAAAGAAGGACAATCATCAGTGAAGTAAGAAAAATCAAAGTAGTCTAAAGGTTATTTCATTGCCATCTCTAAGTGTATGGTGATCTACTTCCACTGAAGCCCTCTCCTTATTTAAAGCTTTACATATTGCAGGTGATAATCTGCTAACAGTTCACCCCCCTCAAAGCTCAACAGCCTTACCAAGTCTTGCTCCATGCGTACAGTGCTGCCAAGTGATGTTTCTTGCTCCTGGTGCTGTACAATTTGCACCCCGGACTTCTCTACACACTGGGTTTACATACCTGAAGGTATTACATTTAGAGAACAACTACCCAGCAACACAAAATGAGGGTTAATTTTACTTCTGGGCTTTAAACATGATGCCAGAATACACAATACAAGCATTGTAGTCTCTTTTCAACCCATAACTTACACTTGGCAAAAGTAAGTAGGAAAAGAAAAAACAAACTTCTTTTTATTTTATTTGTCACTTTTTGAAAGCATTTTACACAGGTTTTGATCTTCAGAATACCTTGGAATCAGTAGAAAAAACTGAACAGTTTGTCTTTACAATAGAAACCTTTCGGGAGTCAAAATTGAGACTAAAAAAATACATGCAAAACATACTCCTTTCAAAACACAACTTGAAACAAAGCACCAAACTACACAAATATGCAGAATGAAACAGCATTTAACATCACGGAAGTAGTCTTCATAAAAGGTGTAAAAGTCACCTATTCACTAGGCACTGTTCACTTGTTTAAACAGAAGAGACAATAAAAATATTGTCCACAAACTTGCAATTTCAACTCAAACGCTGTAGCTAGAAATTCCTCTACACGTCACACTTTAATAGCGACCTGAAAGAAAAAACAAAATACATACGCTATTAGACTCCCAAGGATTGACAGATTTTTAAGATTTCTTTCTAAATTCACTGCCATGCCTCAAATCTGCATCAAATTCAAGAGCCTTATGATTTGTCTATGACAAAGTCCAGCAGCCAGTACCGTTCTGCCAGGAAGTTCCTTTGTGTAGAAAACCCCCCATTCCCGTCATATGCCCAGGGCTGATGTTTCAGCGCACAATGAGAATTCACATTGCAACTGTTCCCTGGTATCAGTAAAAGGAGTTACACTTGTTTTCATTTGGACACAAAGGGTAAACATGAGAACACAACCTATTCATTCACTCTGTATCCATTACAAAGGGAGTATGCTAGGAATGCTATTGTGTTTTATTAAATTTCTGCCATCAAAATGCAGCTTTATCTTCCATGCAAATAAGCAATCGAGAAAAAAAGCACTATTCTGGACCTCAGATGAAGTTAACCTCCTCTTGAACAAGTTACGCTGGGAAATTAAGTTTCAGTGTTAGAATGTGCGAGGCTTGGGAATTCGGCCTTGCTGTCCTAGAGGTAACCAAATTGTCAGCATACTACAAACTCCTGTTTTAACAGAGTTTTGGAGAAAGAAATGGTACCTCAGACTCTTTAAACAAGTGGTATTGCCTAGTTTACTTTTTTTGCAAACTAAATATTTACACTGTCCTCAAGGTTGCCAGTTGCTCAATGAAACATTAAAGGGAACTGTCATTCAAAAAAAATAACCACACTGAAGTTGAATAGTCTTTATGGACGCAAAACCTCAAAAGAAGAAGTTCAGGCAAAGTGAAAATCTGTTTTTGATATGCAAGCTCCAAGCCTACTTACGAGGTGAATAGGATCGAGATCTGGATCGAGATCTGTAGCCCCCTCGGCTGTAATATGGGGATGGTGACCTCCTCCTGTGAAAGAGGGCAACAGAAACAATCCCTTCGTTAAAGCCTGGAGCAAGCGAGTGGCAGCTGCTTGATATGGATACCTCTAACCCGATCCTGGTATCAAGAGTGTACTTGGGAAAGCTAATAAGCACATAAAGAGCTGATCAATATTTCTACTGGGTAACAAAGCAAAGATGTGAGTTTTCTTAATATTCTTTTTATTACCGGGTCAGAGTAATACTACTTTGGGCTAATAAAAGAAGTATAAGCTCTCTTGCATTCACAATTTGACTACATGCGATCTTAGTGTTTCAAGCCAAGAACATCCCAAAGCAGCAGTGTAAGCCAAATCACACCTTAACTTTTAATCTACAATATTTGTTTCAAGATGAAGAGTTGATTTGAGTAGCAGTCACTGCTACAACCAACCCCACCCCCAAACCCCTCCAATCCAGGCACTCTCAAGTTTTGCGTTTCCTTGCCTAGTTCCACTAATCTCCTAATGAAAAAAAACCATCCCCAAACATTCAGGACATTAACTTCTTGGCATAAATCACAGGTTTTTTTTTTAGTGCAAAGCTGCACTAACCCATCCCTATACCAACCTCACCCCTTTACATAGCAAGGAGAGAACCTTTGAAATGAATTGCACTGCTCACCGAAGAGCTGCAAAGTACTCAGCATCCACCCAGTTTCTGCTAATGTGTTTAAAGACATCCTAGACTTGATCCATAGAATACTAAAAAAAATACCATGTATAAGAATATTTCCACTGTTGACCAGACACTGAAAGCTTTCCCAGCATACCTGTAAAACTGATCCCTGTCTTGAACAGCTCTCCATCCTCCTCCTCCTCCACCACCACCTCCTCTGTGAACACAAAAGCAGAACAACTTTTGAAAATTTTAAAAATAAACAAGAAGTTCATTGTACAAGCAAAAAGCATCATCAAGCTTAAGAAAATGATGTGAAGACAAGAAAAGATTGGTTCCTACACTGGATAATGCTGAATTACTTCATTACATTCACTTCTATGGATTCCTGGAATGAGTTGGCTAAACTTGGTGTCAAGGAACAGTTAAAGAGGACTCATGTTCCAGCTGACCAATATTGTATTTTACTATGTCATACTCTCCAACGAGCAGCAATGTAAGATCAATACATAGCCATCACTTCTAAGACCAATTATATTCTCAGATGCTTACCCCCTTGAGGCAAGCCATTTATTTTTTTAAAGTAGCAAGATCAATTCACTGTCCTGAAGAAAAAGTTGATTCCAAGGTGGAGGCAGCGAAAAAACCCACACCCTTACATTTTAACACTTCACAATCACGTTTAAACAAGGGCACTTAAGAACTGTGGTATAACTTCTCCTTATATAGAAGCTGCCTAGAACTGGAACAATGCATTCTAGTATTTAACGATATGAAGTGGTTGGGCTGGTACCTCCACAGATTTAGATACAGCAAAGCATTACCAGGAGGAGACTAAATCAAGTATGGAACAGTCACTGCCACAGATGTCTCACAGCAGCTCAAAAAGGCCGTAAATCATATGAAGGACAAAGAACCCCCAAAACACAACACCACACTTTCAATCAGCAGGTCTCCTTTTTTAGTTTTTTTTTTAACATCATCTCCATTTGGTAGCTAGCCAGTGTACAAGTTGCTTTCTGTTTGTTGTTTTGTTTTTTGGTTTTTTTTTTTAAGGTTATTGTTCAGTTTACATATACTTTTCCCAACAAGATTAGGCATCCCACGGCAATGAGGAGAAATTAAAGTTTTAACATGACAATTCTCATCTGAAATTGTATTTCCCTTAAGGCTTCACTGCACAGAGGGCAAGGAAGGGAAAAATTCGAAGTAATTGTTACCAATTGATTTTCTAGGGTGGAGTACTAGTATGCAGTGCTCTACTGCATCTTTAACAATTCTAACTTTCCTTTCCTAAAGGAAAAACTCATGACATACACAACGCTATTCTCTCTCCCTCAAACGACCAATAGCTGGAGAACAAGCAAGCAGGTATCAAACCCAGGCAGATCATGATATTTTTAAAGCAGCCACACACAAACCATTTGTGGCTTACTTTCACCCTTTCAATATCTGCTATGAAGGTTCTGCAGCTTTAAAACACTGGGGTGTGGTTTTTTGTTGGCTTTTTTTTTTTTAAAGGTAGGAAATGGAAATCACCCTTGCTGGAATTGTCAATATTCTGAGTATTTCCACCCCAAAGCCCTAGTTCAAAACAGACACAGGATGGGAGAGCATGTAGGAGGGTCAGAACATCGACCAGCACAGGGCTGCCTCAAAAAGCTGGACTGAAGCATAGCCATGAATTCTGGTATGCTACACTCAGACTAGTGCACCATGTAGTCCATCTTCTCACATCACTTCTCTCTAGTCTGCTCTTCCTCATCTAATGCATGTACTCTTCTTTACATTCAGTCACTACCACAGTCTGCAACTATTCTCACCAGCATGCCCCAGAACTAACATAATTACAACTTCTGGTAACATTTTATGAACATCTGAGCCACTGTTCACTATCAGGAATGAAAGAGGTAACACTTAAGCACTAAAAACTTAGGATCATGCCATAATCTAAACAAGGAATAAATTACATTTCAAGAACACACAAGCAACAGATTTTAAGGACAACCAGTACACCCTGACTGACCCTTTATGAAAGAATAAGGAAACCTGTATTATGAAGTGCAAGAAGAAAGACCAGTGGTGTAAAGCTCTTACCAAATACTGCATAGCCCCATATCTTTTGCTGGTCCTTAGGTACCTTTGCCATTTTGATAGGTTTACATCAGAACCCCATACAAAAAAAAAAAAGGAAAGTGGGAGAAGCAAGCTAGAAGCACCTCTTAACAGCCTGCTTAGCAGGCTATGTTGCAAGTCTTTTCTGTTCCCCAACACTTTGGCGAGCTGCTTCAGTTAATTTATCCACTAGATTTCAGTTAATTACTTTTAGTACATTAAGTGAGATGAGGATATGCTAACTATCCCAAGCAAGTTTTTGTACCTTGTGCTCTGAAACAAACTGGAAGTTTGGTCAAAGAGCCATCTACCACATATGAAAGCCTACATACAAGTGCTGGCAAAGTGAAACCCAACACATCTTGGTTCTTGTATGCCCAGTATCAAGTTCAGATTTTATCTGCTACAGTTCTCCAAAATGTTCAAACCACTGATGTTTCAAGAAAATGGATTGTTAGACACAAAGTACCACCCTAATGACTGCTTCCCAGAAATGCGAGTACAACACTTCTGTCTCATGTGTTCACTGTGATGATGTAGAGCACCTTGATCCCCTCCCTGTCCACAGCAGCATTTAAGCACTGTAGAAGCAAGGCACCTGATTTAAGTGACAACAGCAAGGCAGGGAGGGGAGAAACAGACTGGAAACAATGCCAACAGCCCGAGAGGAGAAAAACTGCCTGAAAGTAGTAGGAAGGGAAGGAGGAGATAGCTGCCCTCAGTCACTGACAATGACCATACAGCTATCAATAAAAGTACAAAGATGATATTTTCTTCCACACCTAGAAAGCAACAGAGGAGTACGCTGAAAGCTAAGATCACAAAATTTATTACTTCTTTTGTCTTTGAGCTATAATGCGATAATGTGATTTGAATTCATGTATTTCAATGACTACATGGTTGCCATCAGGGAACAATCATAAATCCACCCATTGCTGATGCATTTAAGCTTTGCAAACAACTTAGGAAGTACTACTACAGAATTCTGCAACTACAGGAATGATTGGTAATTGCAGACAGAAAAAAATAAACTCTTATCTTTGCGTCCAACTTAATAGTGTCCCAGAAATTATGGAAGATTTCAAAGGGGACAAGTCTTATTGGCAGTCTTAATGGAAAATGCAGAAGACAAACTTGCTCTATCACCAAAATCAATTACATACCAACCATGTTTTCAACAGATTTTCTATCAACTTTACTAGCCCTCTGACAATGTATATTACCACCTGAATATTCACCTCTTTCAGCTAACTACTATGCTGCCGAACACCGAAGTTTAGACTGAAAACAGATAGAAACAGGAGGTGTGAGTCCTTCGAGTAAAACACACACATCTAACCCAACGGAGTATGTTGAAATAGCTTTTTAATGCAAATGTCCAATAAAGAACTGGTAATGTTCAAATCCCTGATTCCTTTTTTTTGGCAACATTTGAAGTGCCATAATTATTAGTAGGGGATACTGGTGACCACAGAGACTTCCCACTTTTTATCTACCACGTTACGCTAAAAATGTAACTCAGCACTATAATATCAACTCAAATGTTAGATCTGCACCTGCATGCCCACCATTTCAATGCTAACAGATGAACAAACAAAAGTGTCTTTTAAAATCAGAGTACAGAGAACATACTTTGTCTTTCAAAACTTAATGCAGATTTAAAAAACATTATGGACTAACTCATGCCACAGGTTAAACATCACAAAGTATTTCTCGATCTGACCAATCTGATTTGTGGTAAAGATTTATAGTAAGATTCCAGAATGACAGGAAGTGCAAAAATATTTTGGCATACATATGTAGGATGAACTGCTTAACTTATATAGGTAGAAAAGTAGATGAGAAAGCACAGTTTAAAAAGCAGTCGAATATTACAAACATTGCCTCACCTGTATGATCTGCTGTAATAGTCACGATCATCATACCCTCTATCATACCCTCTGTCATAGTAATCTCGTCGTCGTGAGCTGCCACTACAAGTAGTGAAAGAGAATTACATTTAATAAAATATAAAACATTGTTTGCAGTGCTTTTCAGTAGGCATACAGTCAGTCAAGTATACACCATTTTAACTGGGTTATACCATTACCTCGCATCCTCACAATTGAAATGATTGTGAGCACTCCTACTTTCCCATCAGTGCAGATGGGAACAGAACTACTTAAATAATTGCTTTTTAAAACACTTGAACTTTAAGACAGCTACTTTCCTCCTTGGTCTGAAATCTCTTAACCTTTTGGTATCACAGGCACGTGAGAAATTCCATTCTGTGACAACTCTTCATTCACTTTTAACTCTCAGAAAGCTCCTTTTGGAAAAACTTTCCCATTAAAAAAATAACCTGCAGTCTCAACACAACATCAACTACATAACTACCAGTACCATAAGCTGAAAGTCTTGGGAAAACAACTGGGAAATGACTTGGGAAAACAATTTACATTCTTGGCAAGTCAAAAGCATACTCTGTGGATAGGGCAAACTGCACCACACAGCTGCTCAACTAGTATTTGTTAATTCACTCTTGAAAACTTGAGCTTGCAAAAGACATTAATATTTGAAGGTACATACGACAACTTAAAATAATTTAGAAATTGTCAAAAAAATCTTACTGTAGACTTATTTAAATGTTTAGATAGCTAATGTCTGGGCTGTATAACTAAGGAACACAGGTTTCTGCTCACTGTAATCCAGGCTGACCCTAGATCAGTCACTGACAAGTGCTATATAAATTAACCCCTCCTATCTAAAAAGCTGAAAAGCTATGCATTACTACTGATGGCTGTCCACATGTAGTCTTTTTTTTTTTAATTCTGAAGAGTCTCCTTTATCAGTTGAGTCAGTTTTCACCACATCAGCATTAGCACAGGTCTTGTTAAGGAGACTTTTTTAAAAAATGTAATTAGGCATCAACAGTGATTTTTGTATTTTAGTTTCTAGTACTGAAACATCCACATACTGTACAGCACACAATTCAGAAGCAAGGGAACAGCTTTCAGAACAGTGCATTAATGCAAAAGCCTGATAAGCTAGGAAAACCACACAGAATCAGGTCTCTCAGAGGGGATACAGAAAACAAAACATGACAATTAATCCTGTCCCACACTGGTTTGGAAAAACCCCCACACAGGTAACTTACTAAGTGGGTCTTCCCATATAGATTCCAGGGGTAGGTGTGTGAGGTCTTTTTGTTATGGAGAAGTCTACCCGGATCCTTCTTCCATCCAGCTCCATTCCATTGGCACGTTCCTTTGCCTGAGCAGGGTGATAAAATACAATTAGCTGTAAGTATGAACTTTATTACCAACACAAGTTTCTAACCACTGCGTCAAGTATTAAGTCCTAAAATGGCTGTTAGGATGCACGCCCAAGTTTCACTTATGCCTTATACAGAACACCAACCCTAAACTCTAAGACATTCTAGGCCAGTTGGATATAAGCTTCAGTAACCACTTAAAATGTGACTTATATTGCATAAAAAGCCTAAAAGGAACATAATTTAACAATTGTTTCAGTACCTGTTTCTAACATGATTAAGAGGAACCTTTGAACATGCTTATGTAGGGGGATGTAACTACTCCAACACACATGAAGCAAAGCATTTAACAATGCTCTTCTGTTAAGTTTTTTTTCCTCCAATACATCCTCAAAACCCACCATAACCTTGAATACAGTAATATCTGAGTCCTAAGTAAATCTGAAGTAAAAAAACCAAAACCCTTGTTTTTTTCTGCCAAGTAGCAGGACCTACATCCAAAGCTCCAACCTAACATGGAAGTCTTTATGCCTAATTTGGAAAAGAAGACACTAGAGACTTTAAGTAGTGTAATTTATGCAGAATATAAGCCTAATTACAGCACATAAGCATACTGCTCTCCAAGGGCTGGCCTGAGCGTGGAATTCTATACCTGGCGAGTATAGAATTCCCTGTTCATTCTGTAGCACTTGCAAGCACAAATCCTGTAATTTGTTATATGGTATTGACAATGCTTCAATTTACTGAATCCCTTAGGGCTTCCCGTGGACATTTGCAGGGACCAGGAAGCCACTGTACCTTTGCCCGGCCTTTTATTTTCAGAAGATTCCCCTCCCCACTCCCCCCCTTCAGACCGAAGCACTAGATGTCAGCAGAATGCATGTTAGCGCTCCTACAGAGAACTCTGAAATGGCCGTCTGGTCCACTCTGAACATGCCTGTTATTAAATATAAGATCACATGTGGAGTTAGGAAGGAACTCTCATCTCATAATTAAAACAGAGAGCCTGTGTTTCTATTTTCTTTTCTTGTTGGCATAGTTTGCACTATGGCTAGCCCAAAGTTTGCTTTTGTGAATTACACAACAGCTCACCCTGCACAGGGACCAGTATTCATACCTCTCCACTCTCTCCTCTGGTACACAGTAGATACCTTTAGAGCTAAGACTCTGACATTTATTATGAGGTGCCAAGTATTTTTTAGCCCCTGAGAAGGCAGGGAAGAAAAGATACTGTGGACTAGCTTGCATTATGATTGTTTCATACAGACAAAAGGAATTAACATTAAAGGCTCCTATACCATTTTAAAGGTCAAACAGCGAGTTTCCCCGGGGCTATATCTTGTCACAGAGTATATATCCCAGCAACTGAGAATACAGCAAACGTGCCATACATTCTGTACCCCAACCTACTTCCTTAGCATCCTCAACATTTTCGAAGTACACAAATGCAAATCCTCTTGAACGCCGAGACTGCTGATCATACACAATGGAAACATCAGCAATTGGACCATACTTGGAGAAAACTTCTCTCAGATCTCTTTCTGTGGTGTACAGACTCAATCCAAACACACCAAGACAACAATTTGGGTCAGGATTTGCCTAAAGGAAGGGATAGGTAGATAGGTGTTAGAATAAAATTGCTTGTATTTGCAGTACAAGGTATTTCACTAATTGAGTGTCAGAGCTTCAAGCCAAAACAACAACAAAAGAGACACTGCTGAGATTCAGGTTGGGTTAACTTGCTAATAGACACTATTACAATCAAACCTACGGATACAGAAGCCTCCTTTCACAAAAATACTTTGCATTCCTCAGGGTACTGTACAAACTACAGTTACAGCACATAATAGGTACTATATTTAAAAAGTTTTCCCTCCAAAGGCTAGCTGATGACTGTTGAATGTGGAGAGATATACACACACACACAGAGGCCTGGATCACATCTTCATTTGTGTCAGTTATCACTTCCCCCCCCACTTTAGCACAAACCACACCATGCTCAGCCACCTAAGCCTGTAAAGCAGCTAAAAGCAAGCTGGTTTGCCTGCTCATTTAATGAAGACACCATCAAAACAGCTTTTAATAAAATGTTTTAGTTTTCCAGGCTTTCGATCAAAAGCACAAATGTTTCTCCCTCCCAATTCTACCCCCATCCTTCACAGCATACATTCACTCATTTATTACAGCAGGTATAGTGACAACAATCTGCACTGGTAGCACTTCTAAAGGCATTTGTTAATAAACAGACAGACAAACAAGACCCCCCCACCCCACATTCCTAAGCAAACTTATGGAGATCCATGGCTTATCAAAAGCCAAATGACAATTAACCTCAACAATATCTTTTACACAGACCTGAGCGTGAAGCAGAATGTTTTTCTGGAAAATCCCAATTAATTAATTGAGTGATTTCAGGATGTATTCGGGACTAGAGTATGAGTCATCTACTTTTATAACAGACATACCCTGTTTCCAATATGACGCCTGCGAGTAGACATGGGTGAATGGCTGTGACTGTGTCGTCGCCGATAATCCCGACTGTAAGACCTACTTCTGGATCTTCTATGAGAGCGGGAACGAGAGCGTGATCTTGTGTAGTGTCTACGGGAACTCCTCCTTGATCTAGATCTGAGGAAAAAAAACCAAAAAGGTACAGTGTTGGCTTTGTTTGGTTTTTTTAACCCTTCAAAAATACGTCAGATATTCACAAACAAAAAGCCCAAATAAGCATTTCCTAAAAACCTGCAGTACCACATGATTCAGCTATAACCAATTTAGTCACTACTCTCAAGGACTGCATGCTAAATCTTTACAATTAGATTACTGTAGATGCTCTCAGAACATTTTTACTGCAGAACAGGAACCTCAACTTCCATTTTAGTTAGCTTTTAATTCCCCAATAGCTTTTAACTTTCTCTAACAAGGCTATCTTGGTTTGACACAGTATATGCTTAGAATATTCTCAGCATTTACAGTAGCATTTAAGTAAAAATAGCTGGGATGCCTTTCTTTTAAAGACTTAACAGAATAAGGGAACAGGAAAAAATATGACTTAACATATAGCATGCACGATTGCAGAGGTGCACACTTCTGCTTATTCTAGCACTCAGAATAGCACTGCTTTCAGTGACACTGAAAAGCAAATACACTTTTTACACAGTGCATAATTACAAGCACAGAAGTCTGGCAAATGCCCCTGAAACAGATCTTAACACAATTGAAGAAATTAAGCGGTACTAAGCTTATTTACCTTCTGGTATTTCAACAGTTATTTAACATTAGATGTTCAAGAATGTTTACATGTTCACACTTCAAGTGTATTTAGGCAATGGTACAACTGCTCACTAATTTCAGCTCAGGCCTCCTCAGAACAGTTCCAGAAATGTTTTCTGACAGCACTAGGTCTGTGGAGATGAGGTTCTGAAACACTCCAATTCCTTCTACTAAACCCTCAGCCCTCCCAACACAGACAATCTTAGTTGAAAAGCTGGGCAGGCACTTAAACTGGAATATTATGCCTCAGCTGGGCCTGCTGATGGCAGTCACTGAATAATCTGCATTCCACACAACTACAAAGAAAATTGCTGCAAGGCTAAGAAGTGCAATAACCAGTTTAATATTCAAAGGCTCTTAGTCATACCCTGTTAATCTTCAGACTCTTGTTTGTGTCTTAAATATCCTTCCTCTAGTTTGTGGAAGCCAAGGTAGCAAGTACTGACCAAGACCATAAGCTACCATCATTGCACAACTGGGTTTCACAGTAACACCACCACTACACTAGCATGAACGAAGCTCTTCACCTGAACCCATTTTTACTCCTGAGCATTTAACAGCTTCTTCCACAGTCAGGATTTCTCACTAGGTAAGTGTCACCAGACAGCCAAACTGCACGATATACACTCTGTACGTTACAGGCCTCCTTAAAAAAATGCCTTCAACCTTGTCAGAAGTGAGCCAGCTAAGTTCTGTCTTCCTCAACTTGAAACATGTATACATGTCCAGGAGAAATTAACTCAGCACGTCCCGTTACAATACCTCTAAATATTTTTGGCAACCAAAAGTAAAAAAAAAAAGAGAACTTCCCTGAGGCAGGGAAGACAGTAAAGACAGACAGAAATAATAGTAATAAAAAAAGAAGTTTAACACACGCATACAGCCACATTCCAACCGCTGACACAGAAAAAAAATTTAAGGCAAACACAGAACTGATGTTCCAGGTAACAGAATGCACCCATTACACTGAACAAGAGCTGGACACTTCTAAACCAGGAAATCCATTATGCAAGAGAACAAGGCTTATTTTAAATAGGCACTGCTTATACTGCTGCCTTAACATGTCATACTGCCATTATGCTCCTTTGCTGCAAAGCCACCACAGCTGAAAATCCTATTCCTTCATTAAGAATTGTTTAGACTTCACAGAGTCAGCCAAAGATAACAAGCTTGCTGTGCTGCTGATGACAACTTCAGAAAAAGCAGATTTTTAAATCAAGTACATCCACACCCCAAATGATAAATACGCCAGGACACAGATTTGTTCCCAAATCAAAGTTTAATTTATAAAGCTGGTAACTCAAAAATACATTTGCAACAGAAACTACTAAGAAATAGGAAAGTTCTCACAAGGTTATTTCTCTGCTGAGAGCCAGAGTTAGATGACCGGCTCCATGATCACATCCAACTATGTGACGGCACTGAAAAGAGATATATGTATGTTGTTTCTAAATATGTGCCTTGACACAATTCTGCCCAAATCTGCTAATGATCACACTCTCACCCTGCCATATTTCCAGTATTTCCAGCCATAGGCATTTTCAAGACAGCTGTTAAATGCTCAGGAAGCTGTGGTAGTCATAAGCTTCTACTTTTGTTCATCAAAAAGTAGGGTCAGTTGCCAGCATATTCTTTAAAGAGTGATTTGCCAGGTTTCTCATAAATTCTAGGTCTTGTATTTGCTTCTTCCAGCATTTTATACTATTTATGATTGCATTCTTACACAGTGTTATGGTTATTCTGCAAGTGAGAAACACGGTGCTTTAAAGCATATGAAATTCCTAGGGGTTATGGATTAAGGTACCGAAAGACATGCTGGGCTGGGCCCTGACTTGCTTGTTATTTTAAAATTAAAAGGTTCCCCAAGGGTGGTGGCACAGTCTCCATCCTCTGAGGTTTTCAAAACCCAACTGGATAAAGCCCTGAGAACATGGTCTAAGCCCAGAGCTGACTGCCTTGAGCAGGGTTTCGGACTGGACCTTTCCTGAGCTGTCCTGTGAATCTCTCACTACTAGCAATTCCAGAGGTCACCCCAATTTCATACTCTATAAAGCAGTATTACTCTACCAAGTCCTTATTCATTTAATTTGACATCTTCGTTCTTGCACTACAGGGATTGCCAAGTGCATGATTTGACACTTGTGACTGTGCCTGAAGTACACAGAAAAAAGCCCATTCCTCTGCCATCAAAATTTCCCAAGTATTTCCCTTCTCACAAAAGCCTTTCAAACTGATCACTTTGATCTTGCAAGGATACCTAAACACAGTATTTGATAGTGTTTTCCTTCATGGGTGACTGCTAATAAGCACAATGTCTTCCAGACTTGTCATCCTTCCTCCAGCCTGACCCCCAGGCTTTGGCAAGCCTAATTCATTGCTCATACACATAAAAAGTATATTGTGAACAGCTCAACTGGAAACCCCACTGCTGAAACCCACGTTTTTTAACCTGAACGCTTACAAATGAGTAAAGGAACTATCAACACATTCATTTCTGTAGTCAGCACTCAATTATCCAGACTCTTAAGAAAATAACGTCATTCACCCATTTACAGGTTTTGTTGCCTCTCCATTCTTTATTAAGTATGTACCTCTTACATGACACACCTAGCAAAGCCAATGTAAACTGGCTAGCAGTAACATTTATAGTCTTATTTCTGGACTGTCAGCATATTTTATGTCTCAGTTATGTCTGTTAACAGTTTCAAGAGGAATTCTGTCATTGCACACAGCTTATTTAGCACATGAGTATAAAGATAGGTAATACAGCACGAAAGGCATTTTCACAGTGTACATTTGCATTGCCACGTAACAAATACAATAAGCAAGCTACTTTCTCCACGATTTTTTTTTTTTTTGAGAGAAAGCCATCTAATCTTTAAAGCTTTCCAGCCTGCTAATTTTCAAGTTAAATTAATATACATTTAAAAGGTCAGACAGACATCTGTTGAAATTCACATTTATCTCTATTGCTTCTTTTTCATGGAATATACCGTTAACTACTCCAGAAACATCATTGCTTCCAATGAGAAAATGTGATACATTAATGTGACCTAAAATGGAAAATCTGCTGACGCATGTATTTCTTTTAATGCACAGAAAAACTAACATCTCAAGTTCCTAATGCTTCTTGCTCAGAAATTAGCCATTATTCCAAGACCTAAAAGGCAGGCCACCTCCAAACTGTATCAGCTGAGATACAAGCCTACATAGCCGACCACCTCTTAGAAAAAGCTGCAAAAATATCCTACTTGATAGTTTATCTTTTCAAATCCTGAAGCCACACATGCCCCTTTGTATTCAATGTCCACAGATCACCAGGTATCTCTGGAAACAGAACTGGGCTACATTGGACTTCAGTTCACCTCTGACAATCAATTGACTTGCGAAGAGGAGGAAGAGGTAAAAGAAATAAACTCACCTGGATTCAGACCTGGATCTAGATTTTGACCTGGAACGCCTGGAATCCTCCTTAGATCGAGATCTTGCAGGGGTGTGTCTCCCCGACTTGCCAGACCCATGAGCACTTCCGCTTCTGGAAGCAGAACGGGATTCCTGCACGCAGATATTGAAAGCCTAATTTGTACACAATTTCTCGTTTACCTAAGGTCTGTAAACAAGCTCCAGTGAAATAAATGGTAAAAATTCATATCTATGTGTCCGGGCAGTTGGCATTAGAACTGCCTAGATTTTTAAGTAGGTTTTTTTTTTTTTTTTCCCTGGTAGACACTTCTTTACCCTGCATATACTTTTGCTATTAAACAGATAATGCATGCATGTTTAGCAAAATATACAGGGACACATAAACAGACTAGTAATTACTTAGCGTAGTGCTTTCAGATTCCAGATTACTTCTTATCTTAACTTCATTTTTATTCCTTTTCTTCATTCTTCCGTTTCAAATTCTGACTTCTTTCATCTTCCCCACTTCACACAAATTGCTCAATATTCTACAAGTGGGACTTCTGGTCTGATAATTAGCATGCATTCACTTTCTTTTTTTTCAAATTTCAGCTTCACTTATTCCTGAGCTTCAAATAATTCTCATTTATAAAACTTGTCAAATGGCGACTTCCGCATTTTCCTTCTTCAACATTAACCTTAATAGAAAAAGAACAGGATGAAGAATATTTAAAAACTCCAGGATAAAATCTAGTGCCAAAACTGAAACTAGAAAAAAAATGTTTTGTGGACTTTTACTATATATGCAGTTCAAGAATTGAATCTACCAAATGCCCTACTATTTTATAAACAGATTCAGTCAATTCAGTTTAACTTGGTACTAAGCAACTGAATTTGCTGTTTATGCCTATATTTAATAGCAAATGCACAGTGGATCAACTGAATATCTACTAATGAATTCTAGCATTAGGAAACTCAGAATACTTTGCACTGTCAGCCACATACTTAGACAAAATCAACAAGTGACTTAAGTAAGGTCCCTACTGCGGTCAGAGACGACTAACTGATGTGCTTTTTGAATGCAGAAAGCACAACACGGTTGGTCCTTCAATGACTTACAATTATATTACTTTTTGGGACATTCTTGCAGTTTAGAAGGCCTAGTTTGAAGGTTTTGAGCACATCCTACTCTGCCTGCACAAGTGTGATTACATATGCAGGCTTCATGCTTCCAAGTAAATCATAATTTTCCACCAACCGAAAATGCAATTCTGTGCAAAACACTCAAATGCTGTTCTGGAATAATATCCCACCTACTCTATTACCTACTTGTAATCCTCTTTGGTAGTGACATAACCTAATTAGCATTTTCAACTTTTTTTTTTAATCAGTATTATGCTTAACTTCAGTCACATGGCTTACACACTTGGTTTGAACGCCCTAGGAGGTTATTATTTTTTTTAAGATATTAGAGAAAATTTAAAAGTCAGCAGCAGAATTCTATTTTTTCCTAAAAACAAACAATTCTAAATTTTGTGTCAATTCTGATCAAGAATGCTCACTAATGACACTGGAGTACCAGATTTTTCTCAAAAATCACTTGTTTCATCTTTGTAACATCTCTTAAACCTGAGCACTCAACTTAATGGGCATTCTGTACTAAGCATTCAGAAATTCATTTGCTAAACCAAAATTTAATTGTGCTTAAACCACTTCCATACAACTTAAAACAAAGTTTAGCTGTTTACAACTGCCTACCATACAATACTACAGGGATGGGACACAGCTTGCAGGATAAAGCAGATTTTCAATTAATACGAAGAGCAACAAAAATAAAGCAAAGTTGATCAAGGCCATATTCTTCTCTGGCAAAACGTTTAAGGTGTTCTAAACTATAGCCACCTCATATACTAACCCTGCAAAGGGCAGTGCAAATATTGAGAACTAGTTTAAGTTACAAATAACAAATTTAACCTAAACCTATGACCACCTTCAAAAGAAAACAATCCATGGAGATGAGTTCTGAGTTACTGCATTAACTTAGCCATAAGAAGTCTTCAACTCTTTTCAGAAGAGTTAGACAAAGCCAGATTGAAGAAGGGATAAACACCAAAACTAAGGCTGTTCTTCATTTGAGGAAAAATACTTCCATTCACAAAACATAAGTCTTGAGAGATTGAGGCTGGATAGGAGCCGTGTCCAAATACAGGCGGTCTAATACTGAGAAGGACCCATGAAATGCACAATGGGAGGGAAGCAACAGGGAGGCTCTTGCCCATAAACATACCCCATACCCTTTTTAGAGCTTTTAGAACTCAGTAAGCTTTGAAGAAGTCAGCAGAGAAATAGTATTAGCATAAGCAAATGACTGAAGTCTTCATCTATTTGATACATTTTTTTGGACGATCTTTGCTATATTATGTTAAGATTGATGTGGAAATTGGATGCCTAGGATCTGAGAAGAAACTTAGGAAGAAAAAACCTTAAGACAACTGTATATCTAAATCAGAAAATTAAACCGCTGGCTTATTTTCATCTAGCTCCTTTGGACTTTACAACATTTTCCAGTTTCTAAAGATCCACATTTTGTTTCCAGATCATCCTTCTTTGAAACCTTTATCTTCAATCTACCACATTTTACAGGATTATGCCACTTCTTTATTACTTCCAGCCTCAAAGGAATTCATTGCACCTCATCTGCTCCAGATATTACTAAGACTGGTAATAACTCCTAAAATTTCGAAGTTGTTACCCTCCCCACCCCAACCCCCAGGAAATCCTCCCAACCCAAAATTTCAAACACCAGGAACCTGCAGCACTCCGAACTTAGTTTACAACACCCCATTATACTGACACTCATTGAGGGTTCACACAAGCCACTCCCACAGCTCACTTAAATTAGAAAGTTGCTACTATGTGGTTTTGTTGTTATTAATACATATTCTTTTTCTACTTTTTGCTCTTTCACTTTGTGAATTTTAAGTTTTTTAAAAATGCCAAAGTAGGCTCCTGTCATGACATGTGGAAGAAGAGAGAAGAAGAAACAACCTTCTTTATCCTACCTATATTCAAACACTGCTGGTAAGCAGATCAAGGCCGGTGTTCACTATTAAATAACCATTTTTTTTTCTAACCTTGAATTTGTGAAGCGTAGATTTTAAAAACCACCAGATCCCTTGATCTTTACCAACAGTTCTTCCCCTTCATCAGGCAGTACTGGAATTCAGGTGGAAGCCCTGAAGTCCAGGCTTGTGGTTTCCAAATTATTCTTTCCACACTTTAGCACGTTAAAAATAATTTGTAATACTGTAGGGATGAAAAGATGCGTTACAGCCACCTACTCTCTAAGCAAGGAATGTCACAACAGCAGGATTATTTTGGGGGCAGTAGATAGAAAAGGTTTCCATGGACAGAAGCAGCTGTAAGATATGTAAGCGAGGACCATGTTTTCTTTGCATTTCTGAGATCCAGTTTTTCCTCACGGGAATGAAAGTTACAGATTTCAGTTACTTAATAATGTAAGATACAGTCAAAATTATTTGTTATTTTTAAAATCCAAAATCCCTGTAAACTTATATATTTCCATTTGTTTTCCTAAAGAAAGATGCAGCCTCACATTACACATTGTCAACCTGCAGTCAGATTTATTCAAGATATAATTGTGCTAACTTCACATTCCTTCAACCTCTCTACTACTGAATTTAGCAATTGATCAAATTCAGAAAAATAACAGCTTTTGCCTCTCTTCCCCCTGAAGCACACAATCACCAGATCAGATCACTGCTGGGGGGGCAGGCCCTGGGAATCCACTCAGAGGGAAAGCAGAATAACCCCTTTCTACAACAGTTTCCAAACTCCACCAAATAAAAGACAAGAATGTGTTTTGAAAAATCAAGCTAACAGACCATGAGCACGGAAGTCCAGCTTCCTCCCACCACCTCTGCCCCCTCGCGCTGACTCTGTGGGCTCATTCAGTGCACCAAGCCAGCAGGAAACTAATCCATCAGCAAAAAGCAAGCAATTTTCTCACAGCTTAGGGTACTGAATCGGCCCACCAAAAAGTCAGATCAAGTGCCAGCTGATGAAGGAGGAACACAGAATAACCTATCCTCTTGGTGGCATCAAGCTATCAGATTGTTTCTAACCTTCTCAAACTGCTTCCTTAGACCTTCTTCCACAACTTAGTAATAAAATCAGCATTTTTGAAAATATGCGTTAAGGACCTTGTAAGTAGATCTATAAATTGAGCATTTACACCATTCAAGTTATTCTGATAAAAAAACAAACAAACAAAAAACCTGACTACCGTATTAAACAGTTTCTGATCAGACACATACCAAGTAGTCACTATCAGTATTAACTAATTCACTGGATAAGACTCACTATTTTTTCCTTTAACTAGTCTTCTTTCCAACCCTTCCATGCCTGAATCACATGCACTTCAGAGAGCACAATTTCAATGAATGAAACCAAAATAAAAGTGACTTGGAAAAACATGGCAATTATTACAGCATACTGACAGTATTTGAGGTATTGGTAGCATTTAATAATTTATAGTGTCTTCAGTTAAAAAAAGTTTCCAGAGTTTAATCCCACTATGGAGTATAAGCTGAAAAAGATAATTTGACTGGGGATTTTTTTTTCTTCTTCTTTTCTTTTTCAACTGTGACATAAGCCACTTTAAGTTTGTGTTGCTGCTGAAATAGGAAGTCCCATTACTTGCAAAAGCACCTGGTATTTCTTCTTCATCCCCAATACTGACATTAGGACTTGTGGCTACACAATCAAGTCAAGCCTGCAAACCAATGCAGCTGGAAACAGAATCAGAAAAAAAAAATTCAGCTGATTTAATTCCGAGATCTGACTGACTATACAAACATTCATACAAGGGAGAAAGCAGGAACACATTTTCAGAAGCACAATTCTTGCTGGCAGCATGGACTTGGAACAGCTTAACAGACAGTTGTGAAGTCACATTCTAGATTATTTATCCAAACACCGTTTCTACTCTGCAGAGACTTTAGCACTTCCAGCTTGAAAAAGTAGAAAGCCATTGACTTGGTAAAATATAAGCCTTAAGTAAGCAAAAAATATCATAAATAACACTGGCAATAGCATTAGAAAGCCACTCCCTGATCTAGTCTGAAACAGCAGGCTTGTAGCTCTATAGTTTTATTTTTAGTTTTACAAACATGTACATTGCATACAATTTACCTATTTACAATTCACAAAAGTTCAGACATACCTCATTTTAAGCCTTGGTGAAGACTGCCTGCACATGAATTTTTTTTTTATAAAAGTACAGAAAAGATAAAATAGAAAAGCAGCTGGGACAGCAGTTGCTGTCCTATCATATCCTGCACAATTATGGTTCAAAAAGACTTTGGTATAAAGGTTTTAACATTTCCACTCATTCTGATTGAAAATATGCAGGTTACCCTTGCAGACTTTAGTAAAGTTAGGCTACCATCTTAAATTGGTTTTCAGTCTGACTTGCAGAATAGCCATTAAATCAACTTAAAAAACCTAACACATAGAAATGCACCTTGAGCAAGTCAGAAGTAATACTTCCTCACTAAAAATATACCAGTTGTAAGACTGACATGAAGACATCAATGAAAAGATAATACTGGGGGTGGTATGAGTCTATTCTTTAATCCCTATCTCTCAGCATTCATTGCCATCTAGTATTTTTAGCTTCCTGGAAACCAAATTTTTCTAACCTAACCTACTTTGAAGTAGAAACACTCACACTATTAAAGCTTATTGAGGTGAATGTGAATAAGAAAAGACTATATTCAAAGAAAGACACTGCAAGACACTGCAATTTTGTGCTCAGAATTATGACATTCTCTTGAATTGTTTTTGCCACCTCCAGTGAAGGTTTAAAATTTAAACTACTTATCACCTCCACAACTCCCTCTGATGCTGTAGTAAGTTCAAAAAGTTAGACTGATGCTGGGAAAAAACCCAAAACACAGTATTGACCCCTACGCTGCACTTGCCTGTTGCAGTAAAAATTAAAGACCTCAACGGACAACAAGACTGATTCCCTAAGGAAAAACCAACTATAGGTAATCTGTATTGCAGATGTACATCACGAATGTGAAGCTTAGCAAGTCATCTACTGCGATATTAGTAGAATTCCAACCAGACAGTAACATCTTCCAGTAACTACGCAGTTTAAGAGAACATCTACTGCAGGTTTCACAAAGCAAGGACACTGCCCTAGCACTGAGCGCGTTCAGTTTGAGGTTTAACCCTTCGACTATTGCAATCACGTTTAAATTAAATTAGAGACCAAGCCACCTGGATGCAAGGCTGCAACTACACCAAGAAGCAGAGTCAATATTTTACAAGCAAGCGCGAGGAGCAGTAAATCGGAGCTCAATTTAGGAAGTAATTCACCAAAAGTGAATTGCAATGCAGCTCTGGAGAAAGTATAACGAAGGCTCAGACTATTAC